TAGGTGGGCTGAGAAAAGCCAAAAAACAGCAGCTATTGAATAATATAGCTCTAGCCTCCCTTCTTTGCCTTTCTTTTTAGGCCACAGCAGGACAGGATCTGACAGCCAGAGACTTTAGAAGAGAGCGGTTGTGCATGCTAAGGGCTTCAAATATTTACTTACAAGGAGGACCTCTCAGCTCGGAAACAGGAAAAGAAATTGCACAAATTGCATACACAGCAGGAGGAATGTGGCTCTAAATAGCTGCTTATCATGCAGGCCTCCTAGGTCAGAAATCAATCCATTCAGGGGACCATCCTTTCTCACAGATTGGCTGATCCAAGGACATTGTTTTAGAACAGCATTTCTCAGCCTTTACTCTTGTATTTTGGGCCAGAATTCTTTCTTGTGAGGGGCTGTCCCGTGTGTTATAGGATGCTTTGAGAATTCCTGGCTTCTATTTATTAGATGCCACTAGTACCTCCTTCCAATCCTATTGTGTCCCTGGAAAGTTTGGACATGCCAAATTGTTTCTGGGCAAAATTGCTCCCAGTTAAGAGCCACTTGTTTGGAAGAGCTTTAGTCTTGTCCCAACCTGGAGATGTTAGGATCAATCTACTTGAAGTACATGGAAGTATAAAATCATCTTTAAGCACAGATGAAGATCAGGAAGGGGATAAGGATGGATAGTTTTACAGGTTCTCTCCTGTTCAGTCAGAGATTTTTCTTCTTTTGAACATGAATAAAAATAACTGGGAACAAGTTTCAGATGTGCTTGAGTATAAGGAAACTGGTGAACGTTTAAATACGTTAGCTGCCTTCTTTGCATTAATCAGTTTTGATGAAGGTTATGGCTCTTTTATCTTGCTATTTCTTCTTCAAAAACTACCTCAAGCTATTTGGAAAATATTTTTAAAGTTTTGTCATCTGTCCATTACATTTCCATCATCCATCAAAAGCCATCAAAAAAGTTAACTTTGTTCTTTGGGGGAAATCCTTACTTATGTAGGCACCTTTCTCTCAAATATGGACATATGCCTTCCCTTATTTTAGGTTTGGCTGTCTGCCTGGATAGAAAGTAGGAACCGATTTGTATTTTCAATTGAGAAAAGGATTTGTGACCCTTTTGTTTTCCAATAGTGTTTGACAAAAATCTGCAGCTACACACTACCCAGATGTAAATAGCCTCTTGTTCATCTTAAGAAAAAAATTATAGTTTGACTAGAGGGACTAGAACTGTGTTTGCAAGATACCACTGGGACTAGTAAAAACAGCAAAAGGGTTGAAGTATTAGATCAATTAAATGGATATTTTCAAGGGTTTGCTTAATTATGCAGAGTAACACAAATAATACAGAACACAGGTGAGAGAAAAGCATAGTTTGCATGAAGATTCTTATTACTTGGTGTTAGAATAAGTAAATCATATAAATATTGTGCAGGCTAAAATCCATCTCAGTTACTTGATAGAGCTATGTGGGCTGAATCTTATGCTTTTCGGATTTTTGACCCTTGTTTGTGCTCAGAATCCCATTTGTGCGAATAAGATTAAGAAATTCAAGGCTCCCATAATAGAATTGGAATGTTCATTGATCTTCTATGGAAAAATAGCTAAAAGAGGATAGAGCTAGTAGCCTAGTAGTTTAGATTCTCCCAATCCCATGGGTTGGAAATCATTAACTGCTTAGAAAAAGTGGTATAATGAGCCCATCAGTGATAGACTGGATAAAGAAAATGTGGCACATATACACCATGGAATACTATGCAGCCATAAAAAGGAATGAGATCATGTCCTTTGCCGGGACATGGATGATGCTGGAAGCCATCATCATCAGCAAAGTAACCCAGGAACAGAAAATCAAACACCACATGTTCTCACTCAGAAGTGGAAGGTGAACAATGAGAACACATGGACCCGGGGTATGGAGCCAGGGGACGGAGCTTAGAAGATAAGTCAATAGGTGCAGCAAATCACCATGCCACACATATACCTATGTAACCTGCATGTTCTGCATATGTATCACAGAACTTAAAGTAATTTTTTTTTAAAGTGGTATAATATGATAGAGTCAGAGTGGTACTTTTTTTTTTTTTTTTTTTTTTTTTGCTTAGGTGTTATGCTTTGTTTGTGAGTGAGGCAAGTCTTATGTTGTAGATATTGCTACACGCACACAAACAACTCCAAAACCCTGTTGGGGCCAAATCCCTTGACTTCCTAGAGGTATGCTTAAAAATCACTGACATTAGGCAGGTTGATTAATAGGAGAAAATACATATAAATTTATTTAATGTCTATACAGGGGAGCCTTCAGAATGAAGACACAACCCCGCAACATAGTTCAGAAGCCTATATATTATCCTGGCAAAATAGGATATGGGAAGAGGGAGAAAAGGAATTCTGTTGGCAATTCTAGGGAGAATGAATGGATCTGGGAGGAGATTGTAAATAATTTTCTTTGACAATGAAAGGGTCTATTCAGGTGTGGTCTTACATTCTTGGTCTTACAGAGAAGGGAGGAAAAAGCAGTTGTTTCCTTTGGTGGATCTGGACTTCAGGCAGATAAAAGAACGTCAACTTCTTTGGCAAATACATTGAGGGATGGGGAAGTTCAGAGACCGTGAGGCTGCTTCTTTGGTTCAGCATGTCAGTTGGTCATATTTTGGGGTATAAATCTGAGCTTCAACAATACAAATAAGCAAAAAATTCAAAACCAACCTCTGATATTTAAAGTTTCTTCTGCGGTATGATTGCCTGGTTCATTTCTAGGACGTACCCTTTCAAGAAAGCCTATATTACCACTTGAACTTTGGGTTGACAGAGTTCTATTATGTGTTCTCCTAACCACTTTTCCTAGGAAATTAAATGATTATAATTTCATCTCTTTTTTTCTTTTCCATCAATAACTATCTGAATGCATATTCAAGTCTATTTTTATTGCTTTGCTCAGAATTATGGAAAATTTCTCAAATATTACTTGTGTTAAAGGTCCTTGACTTAAATTTTTATTTTTCTTCTCCATCCTATTTCTTTGCAGATGCTGAGAATTTAATGATCATTGCCTCTATGCTGCTTTTATACTCAAATTTGTTTCAGTTAACTGCCCTTCTCCAATAATTTACCACTGGTTTCCCGCAGGCCCTTTGTGTGACACACAACCTGCTTCTTGCTAATGTGAGGGCTTTTATTGCATTTCTATAAATATACCCAAATTTTATTTTCATAGTAAGGAGATTGGCATCAGATTATCACTGTATTTTCTTCTTAGGTTCTTTGCACATGACGATATAAATGTTTTCTGCTTTCAAATTGGCCATGTGCCTCTCTGGAGCAAATGTTCCTTGAGGATAGACAGTTATTGATAAACCCACATAGCATCACTTACAGTAACCCTAGAACAGATTGAGTATCTAGGAGCTCAGCAAGAGCAGACAGAAAGTGAGATAGGAGCAGGGAGAACTATAATCCTGATGCCTGCAAAAGTAATTTGGGAGGAAGTGAATTCTTCTCTTTCTGGTAACACTGGGGAAGAATAAGGCAGTGATAGTGTAAATAGGAAACACACAACTAAAACAGTCACTGGATAAAGAAAATGTGGTACATATACACCATGGAATACTATGCATCCATAAAAAGGAATGAGATCATGTCCTTTGCAGGGACATGGATGAAGCTGGAAGCCATCATCCTCAGCAAACTAACCCAGGAACAGAAAATCAACCACCACCTGTTCTCATAAGTGGGAGTAGAAAATGAGAATACATGGACACAGGGAGGGGAACAACACACACCAGATAGTGTAAATAGGAAAAACCCACAACTAAAGCATCTGATGAAGTTATAACAAAGACTTTTCTACAGAGAGAACTCCTTGTACACTGTACCATCCTCACACCATAATTTGATTGTCAGAACAGCAGATTGTCAGCTCTTATACAAGTGACTTGATAGTATTTTATGTTCATATTAGTTTGATGCATAATATACTTAGCTATGTTTCATATAGTCCCAGGATATATATTCTGAATACATAGTCAAGTCTCATTGTGTCGCTTTGCTCACAGTTGCAGGAAATTTCCCCAATATTGTGCAAAATGACATGCTTTCCACCGAAATTTATGTAAGAAGGTACTGACATATATCTCACACCAAGTACTGCTGCCCTTTCATGGTTAGCCCTTTACAGGCTCCTGTAGAACCTCTTCTACATACACTTCTGTAGTGCCTGTAGATGGTGTCTGTTTTGTTCACCACTGTGTCTCCAGTGTTCCGAATGGTACTTACTACATAGTAGACTTACAATAAATACTGTTGAAGGAAACTGATATTCAGAGGTCTTAAGTATCTGGTTGATAAGTATATAGCTCAAGCTAGTAAGCTTCAGAACAAAAATTCCAGCCCAGATCTATATGGATTCAAATTCATTCTTCTATTATGTTTACCCATCTATAATATAATTTATTGAATGAATCCTTTTTTGCTATTTTTAGCAAAACAATTTATGAAGTGTATGAAACAATACACATAAGCTCTGATTAAGCATTATTATGTAATATCCAATACATATACATAATTTATGAGACTTTAGAAAGCATAATATCAACACTGGTGAACTCACTGTTGAGGCTAAAAACTGGAACATTATCAACATCATTGAGTTATGTGCATATTCTTCCAAAATTCCATTCCTTTACCACCTTTCCAGAAGTAACTGATGTATTTATTACTCTTTCTTTCTACAATAAATGTACCAAATACATAGCAATCCCTACATAAAGGCAGTTTCTAAAACAAATAACAGTTCAAAATTGATAACATGTAATGATTATGTATATAGTATATATTATGTCATTTCATGTATTATGCAATTTTCTTCAACCGACTTTTTTCACTCAACATTGTTTATCTATTATGTCGTTAGTAGCTATAATGTATTCATTTTCACAATTCTATAATATGACTATGCTACAATCAATTTGTTTTTTCTGTAAATTGATTTTTGTTACCTGATTTTTTTTATAGGCTATTTTAATATTTTTTTTATTAAGGGCTATAAAAATACCCAGAAAGATAAATAAATGTGATGCAATGATATCTGTCTTAATATGAAGAACTTTCTTTCACTGCATTGTTTTCCTTCACAATGGCCTTCAAATCACAGGAGGCAGTGATTCCATGCCATTTCCTCTTCTTTTATTACACGCTATAGGATTTCTGAATCAGTATCCCCGCCCTCAGTCTTCTCTTTATAAATCAAAGTCACTTTCAATCCACCATTTAAAGGGAGCGTATTTTTTTTATCTTCCACGAAGAGGACTCTCTGTTTCACAACTGGATCATAATGCAAAAGAGTCAGTTTTTCCTTCAGTCGGTTTCTCTTGGTGTTGAAGCAGAAACCTGTCCCAGCTTGGCTCACCATTCTCACCAAAATGTTTTTTGACTTGCTCTTGGCAAAGAAGACGGCGGAGGGGAACATGGTGACCACCCCTGGACAGTCTATTATTGACAACAGCTATTGTTGACAATTATAAAATTCTGGTACATATCTTTTAGGTCTCACATGCAAATTTCTCTAGGTTTTGTTTCTAGTAATAACATTGCTGGGTTATAGATAAGTTAGTGTTTAGATGTATAAGATGAGTGTTTTTCAAATAAGATGTTTCCAATTATGCTTATACTATAGCAGAGCTGTATATATTTTTCATCAATTTACTTACCAACAATAGATATTATCTCAATTTATTATGATCCTACTTTGTACTTCTTTGATTACTGAAGAGGCTGGATCATTTGTACTTTCTCTGATCTGAAGTGCTGGTTTGGCCATTTACTAGTTTTGTGAGGGGAGAGAGAAGTTGTCATTTTATTCTCAATGTGGAGGAGTTCATTACACTTAATGAATACTAATTATTTGTTGGGTCTAAAAGTTACAAATAGTTTGTAACTTTATATTATGGTGTCTTTAGATAAACAGAAGTTCTTCCTATTAATGTAGGTGAGCTTAGCATTGTTTAAAAATTATAGTTAATATTTTCTCTATTGAGTTCACAAAGATTATCTTCTATATTTTTCTTTCAAAGTTTTAAAATTTTCCCTTTTGCATTAAATTTTTGATCTACCTGGAATTGATGCCTATATATAATATAGTTTATTATATAAACAAATAATACCTGTATTTATTTTTTATTGTTATTAGCTTAGTTCCCTTCTCCAGTGATCATATCATCTTTACCATATTTCAGGCTCTGTTATGTATAGATCTGTTTCTGGGTTCTCTATTTTATTGGGAATTCTGTCCTAGTGTCCGATGATCTTTCCTTATTAATTGACACAACTTTATAATAAACTTGGTATCTGGTAGCGCAATTTTGCTTTCCTATCCTTCTTCCATACTTTACCCATTGAGCCTTTGCCTTTTCAAATAAATTTTAGAATTAGCTTATCAAGTTTCTCAAAAACCTTGTTAGACTGGAAAAAAATTAAATCTTGTAGTTCAATTTGAGGAGAAATTTCAGGGGACATTTTTATGATATTGAGTTTATGATATTGGAAACAAATTAAATCTAAAGTTCAATTTAAGGTGACATTTTTATGATACTGAGTTATCCCATCCCATGAACATGGCATATTTCCCTTTTCATATTTATGTCTTTTAAAAATAGCTTTCAAAAAATTTTAAGTCTTTCTTCTTTAGTTTCTTACATATCCTCTTAAAAACATTGGCTGGGCGTGGTGGCTCACACCTGTAATCCTAGCACTTTGAGAGGCTGAGGTGGGCGGATCATGAGGTCAGGAGATCGAGACCATCCTGGCTAACACAGTGAAACCCTGCCTTTACTAAAAATACAAAAAATTAGCTGGGCGCAGTGGCGGACGCCTGTAGTCCTAGCTATTCAGGAGGCTGAGACAGGAGAATGGTGTGAACCCAGGAGGCGGAGTTTACAGTGAACCGAGATTGTGCCACTGCACTCCAGTCTGGGCCACAGAGCGAGACTCTATCTCAAAAAAAAAAAAAAAAAAAAAGAAAAAAAATCTATTCATTGTACTTATATCTTTGTAATAACAAAAATATGTAATTCTAAAATGTTTTCTAGTTGTATATTAACACAATAAAATTTGCATATTGTTATAGTCACCTTGCTAAATACTCATTAATTCTTGCATTTTGTTAGTAGATGGGGTTCTTATGTAGGTAATCAAATCACCTTTTAATAGTGACAGTCTGGTTTCTTTCCATATTTATTGTATTTTTTTTTTTTTTTTTTTTTTTTTTTGAGACAGAGTCTCGCTCGGTCACCCAGGCTGGAGTGCAGTGGCCGGATCTCGGCTCACTGCAAGCTCCGCCTCCCGGGTTCATGCCATTCTCCTGCCTCAGCCTCAGGAGTAGCTGGGACTACAGGCGCCCGCCACCTCGCCCAGCTAGTTTTTTGTATTTTTTAGTAGAGATGGGGTTTCACCGTGTTAGCCAGGATGGTCTCGATCTCCTGACCTCGTGATCCACCCGTCTCGGCCTCCCAAAGTGCTGGGATTACAGGCTTGAGCCACCGCGCACAAACTAGATAGGATCTTCAGCATAATGTTGAATAGAGGTAGTGATTTGGGGTATCCATCTTTTTCTTTTTCGTGGTACTAAATTGAATGCCCGCATTACATCATTAATATTTGCTACGTCATTAATATTTGCTATGGGTTATTTTTCTCATTGTAAATGCTTCTTAGCAGATAAGGAAAACTGTCTTCTATTCCTGTTTTACTAAGTATTTAGTTTAGTTTTGTTGGAAAAGGGTGTTGGATTATAGAAAATTTTTTTTTCTGCATCTATTGAGACGATTATATTTTTTCTCATTTAACCTGGAAATATAGTGGTTTACACTTATAAAATTTTAATGTTAAGCCACCTTTGATTATTGGAGTAAACAACCTCTTCATGATATATTCTCTTCTTTAACACTTGACTACATTTGGATACCTAGTAATTTCTTACCTTTTAAAAAGTAAGTTGACAAAATTTTATACATTTCTCATGTACATGATGGCTTCAAAATTTACACATTATGGAATAGCAAAATTGAGCTAATTTACAAATACATTACCTCACATACTTATTTTTCATGGTGAGAACACTTAAAACTTATTCTCTTAGCAATTTTCAAGATTATAATACATTGTTATTAATTATAGTCACCATATGATACAATAGATCTCTGGACCTTAGTCATCCACGCTGATATTTTGTATTTTGATCAATATTTTCCCACCCCCAGTCTCTGCTAACTACCATTCTATACTCGACTTCTATGAGTTCAATGTTTTTAGAGTCCACAAATAAGTGAGATCATGGGGGTATTTGTCTGTCTGTGACTGGCTTATTTCATTGAACATAATGTCCTCCAGGTTCATCCATTTTGTCAAAAATGGTAGGATTTTGTCTTTAAGGCTGAATATCCCATTGTATATTCCATTGTGTATATAAACCACATTTTCTTTATTCACTCATCCACTGAAAGATACTGAGGTCGATTCTATATCCTGGCTATTGCAAATTATGCTACAATAAACATGGTGGTGTGGATATCTCTTTAACATAGATTTCATTTTATTTTATTTTTGGATATACATACCCAGTAGTGGGATGGCTGCTGAATTACTAATATTTTCTCATACATGTGAATGCGATTGGTCTCTACTTTTACTAGACTTGCATGATTTTTGTATTCGAGGTAAAACTAGACTCAAAAAACTGTTAAGAAAGTATTTTTTTCCCTAATTTCTGAGGAATTTTGTAAATCATTGAAACATGTGGCTGACTGTGCTTTCTGAAAATGGCCACAGCAATTTTTCAGTCTCACAACTTCTACCAGAACCTTTCTATTCTTTTTAGGGGGTGAGGTCTATTTTCCTTTCCCTTAAAACGTGATGGAACTTTGTGACTGAGTCAACAAGCAGAGTGAGGCAGATGTGATGTGTCATGACTTCTAAGGCTAAGTGATGAAACGTCAAGTGTCCTGCCCTGGGGATGATCTTGGGATGCTCACCTTGGGAACAAAGCCACCATGTTGAGAAGTCCAAGTCATATGGGGTGGTTGCATGTAGGTGTTCTGGCTGACAGACCCCATCAAGGTCTCAGACAGTTGCCTGCACCAACCCCAGATGTGTGAATGATTGAACTTTGATTGGATTCCAGCCTCCAGCCTTTGAGCTGCTCCAGGTGATGTGAGTAGAACAGAGAGGAATGAGCTCCATTAGGCTCTGCTCACACTAAAGGACCACGATCAACATAAATGTTAATTCGGTAAGTTTTGGAGTGGTTTGCTACTGAGCACTAGATAGCATATAGTTTGGCAAATTTCGTTTGTAAATATTTGGGTTTTAGTCACATTTATTTGGTTACATTGCTACCAAAACTTTTCCATATTGTCCCAGTTTTCAAATTTGTGTTATAAAATTGTTCATAGTATTACGTACTTAATTAAACCCCTTATATTTAACCAAAAAACAAACTATTAAAATCTTGACAGATATTTTTACTCATCACTAGCAATTTCAGTCTATTTACATTTTATTGTGTGCAAATATATTTGAAATTGTTTTCACCACTTTCCTTGGTGTTTTCTATTTGTTTCACTTTCATTTATTTTTTTTTCTACTTTGGGTTTATTTTTTCCTTATTTGATTTTTCCACACCTTACTACTCTATTTTTATTCCTTAGTGATTATTATAAACATTTTGCCAGGCATAATTAGTGATTTAAAAGTCTTAAAGAGAGCCAATATCTTAACTATTCTGAAGAACACAGGAACCCTAGAACCATCTACCTCTGACTAATATGTTCCAAATGACAAGTATATATTTGGTGCAGCATTGTATAATATAACCTCTTGTGATAATAGAAGTGTCCTATATCTGTTTTATCCAAAACAGTAGCCTCTATTGGTATATGGCTATTGATCACAAGAAATGTGGCCCGTATGACTCAGGAACTAAATTTTTAACTTCATTGTATTTAAATTTAAGTGGCAACTTGTGGCTAGTAGATTCTGTATTGAACAGGGTCAGTGTCGTATTTTTGTTGTCTTTATGAACTCAGAATTTAGTCATTTTATTATGTATTTTATATTATTTCTTTTTAGATTAATTTACATATTTAACAATTTCTTGGATCAACATTTCTTCTTGCGTTTTAGAACTCGTTACAATCTTTCCTTCTTTAAAGATATCTTTTAGAAGGTATGTTAGTAAAGATTTGCTGGTGGTAAACTCGGGTTTTAATTTTGGACATGTGTTTGACAATGTCCTTGAAAAATAATTTTTATAGCAACACAATTCTAGGTTGATAGTTATTTCTCTCAGTATTTTGAATATATTACTCTGTGAATTCTGGTTTCCATTGAAGCTATTGAAAAATCTGCTGTTAGACGAAATCATCCTCTTTTTAGGCACTCTGGTTTTTTCTCTGGCTCTCTTTCAGATACGTTATCTTTGGTGCTCTGAAATTTTACTATGTTT